TAGTGAAAGTAATTCAAAAACTACAATCAGTTATTGCTAACAAACAACAGCACAATGTTTAAACAAATAGCGAACACCTGTGCAATACTTATAACATTATGGTCAACACAACTGGCCAGTGGCCATGTGTACAAAATGGGAGAGTGTCCAACTGTCGAACCGATGCCCGAGTTTGACATGGATAAATTTCTGGGCGAATGGTTCGTGGTGCAAAAGTTTAGATCTACCAGCGACTGTGTTATGGAAAATTTCACCAAGGTTGATACCGGCGATTACCATGTTACACGTACCGCTAACTTCTTTGGCTCCCCAGTTGTCACAACTGTATCAGGTATTTTACCATGGTTTTTAAAATTTGCACCTTTTTTGTGTACACACATGTAATTAATTAAAAAATTTAATTTTAAAAATATTAACTCTTTGGTGGTGTACCCGATTTATTAAATAAATACTAATTTTACCATGTAGCTTTAACTGGCTTAATAATAAAATACAGTATGTTAAGTATATAACTAGTCAATTAACACATACTATTAATTATAATTACACAAAGTATTATTATGCTAAAATCATTATAGAACAGTATAATTATACAAACAACCATAATTGATAATTTTATTAATTAAAATTACCAGGAACAATCGCATTCACGCACAACGAGACCCAGGCCGAAATGGACATCGACTACCCTTTATCACACACCGGGGCCATAAACATACGCTCGTACACCGTATTAGCTACGGACTACTCCCGCTATGCTTTAGTCTGGAACTGTCAACCCATGCTCATAGGGCACCGGCAGTCGGCGCAGATCATGTCACGCAACGGCACACTTGACCGCAAAATGGTGGCCGAACTCCGGGAGCTGTTGGCCGGGTATCAGCTCAACGACCACTACCTGTCGATTGTACGACAGTCTGACTGTCAGCACCGGCTGGAGGACCCGTACGATGGCTTTGGGCCCGACTTTGGCCCCAATATTATCATAGGTGCCGGTGATAAGCCTATAGTGTCCGTCGGGGGTGGGGGTGGCTGGAGCTGGAGCTCCGGGAGGGCCCGATTGCGATAGGCCTGCGGGTAAAAAGCCGGGAAAACGCGGCGATACCCGCTCGGGAATATCCGTCCGGGTCGGCCCGTTTCATTTTAGCGCGATGCTGCCATTTTAAATGATGAGCAAGGTTGTTTTTAGGTTACAGTAATTAGTTTAACAATAGTTTGTACTAACATGTTTGTTTTTAATTTATTTTTAGTTTGATGTTTTTAATGTAATAATAATTAATAACTTGTTTATTAAACAGTATTTGTCTTGTGTGTATTTATTTATTTATTTTTAATAAAATTATATGTTTCTTTTAATAATATTATTTTGTAATTTATAACAATTTTGAATGTTGTATTAAAATTATTAATTTATAAACATGTAAAAATAATTTGTAAAAACTGTAACTTATGTCAAATCTCTTAATAAATAATTAACCACGAGTAGAAATTTGTTTTATTGGCGTAAATCAGGCTCATTCATATTTTATATAAAGCATTACTATTAATTTCATAATAATTAAAAATTTTAATTATCAAATTAAAATTTAAAGATAAAATTAAAAATATAAAACAATTATATTTTAATACATGGGAATTTTAGCAATACAACTAATTATAAACAAGATCAATTATTCATAACCCAAACTTCAATAGATAAAATGTGCAATAAATTAAACATTTAAATATTTATACATAGGAATATTCCGTATAAACACTACAATAAACATACCGGTAAAACATGTTTCACCCACACGTTATATATTGGTATGTTTACACCCATACCCACCCATTGAGCACGAATGGGCACAACCACTGACTATAGACAGGGTCATCGCACATGTCTGGCTATATATTAAGCTTACTGTACATTATACACACAGCCATACAGAATATATAGCCATTATATCACTGTTATATACCGTATATTCTCGCTATATATTGAGTGTGTGTACTGTCTATCGCTATAACAACGACAGCGCCGGTATGTATGTCGAGATTATTTGCACACATTTTACTTTTACATAGATTTTTATTTGATTATATTATTTAAATAATATAGGAATTTTGTAAATATAAAGTTTGTTTATTAATTTGAATGTGTTTTTGATTTATTTCAGTGTTTTGTTTGAATATTTGCTGAAAATTTTGTTCAAATCTCGACTATTTGTCGCGTTTAAGAGTAAGTCATAGTATTTTGTATTATATTTTGGTTATAATTAATTAATTAATTAGTTGTATGTGCATGTAAGTATGTACGTGTATTTTCAAAAATTAATGTAGATTCAATATTTAATAGCGTATATAAAATAGTCATAGTTTAAATTAAAATATTTAACAATATGTACAAATATATTTAACAATATGTACAAATATATTTAACAATTACAAACTGTATATTAAATGCATTGTATGTAATCATGTAAGTATTAGAAAATGAAATAGATTTATTGGTCTAAAGGAAGTCTTTCATTTATTTATTTAATATTTATAAGCTAGATTTTTTTTGCAATAAAATAATATGCATCAATTTGTTAATAACTTGATCAAATTAACTATTCTAAGCAGGAATTATAACAACTTTACAATAATTACATTATTAAGACATTATATTAAACGCATACATGTAAACGTGTAAAATGGCATTTATCTAACGTAAAAATTTATATTAAATTTTATTATAAAATTTAACACATTTTTATTCTAAATATAGAGATCCTAACGAACAGTATATGTATGAGAATATCAGTTATTTATTTTGTTTTTATAGACAATTGTCCCACTTTTTTATGGGGCGGGAAAAAGTAACAAAAACGTGGTCTTTTTGTTTATGTATATTTAATTTATATCTAATGAATAAGTGATATAAAAAACCTTGAATTAAAATCGGTTTCCTATTTGAATATACAATGTGTACTATTTATCAGGCTGACTATTTTTACATTATTGGTTTGCAATAACAAATTAATTAAGTTGTTTACTCAAATAGGGATTAATAGATAATTAATTATATAGTTTATTCTGACTACAATGTTTAATTAAATTAAATATTAATTAACTTTAAATAGCAATATAAATGAATATTGTTAACTATATCAAAGATATACTGTATTTGATTAAATAGTGAATAAGTTATTCAGAATAACAATTAAAATAACGTTCCAGTGATTGTAAATATTTATCATCAAAAATACTTTTACATAGTTTTGTTTATTTTTAATACAATTATTATTATTTAAAAATAAAACTCAAAATTCAAGGAAACATTGCATTTTCCAGACAATAATTTACATACAAATAATTAAATTTTATAATGAGTTAAAAATAATTTCTCACTACAATATATGTGGGTTTTTTTTTACTAAATACTATATCATTTAAATGTTGGGTATTAATAATAATAACTTATTATAAAGTGAACAAATCTACAAATTAAATAGTAATTTTTTGTAATGTTTTATGTTAAATAAATGCCATTTTATTCTCCAATATAATGTATTATTTTTGTAGTTATAGTAAATGGCTATAATTTATTATGATATATTTAATATGATCAAGTTAACAATTAATTGATACTTATCATTTAATCACAAAAAAACTACATTTTCTAGCTTATTAATTTAAAAATAAAATGAAATGGTCTGTCATAACCCAATCAATCGATCTCATTTTCAAATAATTAATATAATAAATTAAATATTTTTAATATACAGTTCATAAATTCATTAAAAATATTTTTACAAGTTGTTAGATATCACACTTTAACTTGTCACTATTAAATTAAATATTTCATTAATAATTATTGATAAATTGTAACTAGTTTGGTGAGTAGTGAAAACTTAATATTATTGATTTATTAAACCAGGATTAATCCCATTTAATAAACGAGTATTTAAATGATTAGCATTGACATTTTATGGTTCATTTAAATTTGTCATAAAATTATTTGAATAAATGTTAAAAATTTTACATAGATTGTCAATATAGACTGCAAAAAATGCGTTTTTAATGCTTTTGCACAGAAAAAATTATTTATAATCTATTATTACAAATATTAAAGGTGTGTTCAAAGCAATGAATCAAACATTACTTGTATATAAAGTTAAGTTTTTCAGTGACGAACGCATCAAAAACACATTATTTTGCAGTCTATAATTGTCAATCACTACTTTACACTGTGACCTTTAGGTAAAACAAGTTAATAATTAATTTTTATTCAAAATAAGTTTATATTGGATATAATATTAATAATATCTCATTTAAATAAGGTTGAGGTATTACTACTCGGTTACTTGTTCTTGGTCTATTAACACTTTGCAACATACGATTTGTAACAGTTAGTACATACTTGAATAGTACACTATCTGTATAAGTGATACTTAATTATAAAACTCTAGTTCAAATTGAGATAACAATAAACACGTGTAGTACTTTATTTAAGGTTCAACAAGTTTAGTTTTGTTAAAGTTGTTGAGCAAAATAGTTATTTTTACGTTAACTTTTGCCAAAAATATATTATTAAATCCAAATAGATTTGTGTTTAATTTTATATTAAGGTAAAACTATTAATATTAATTGATAATATAAAACAATTAACTGTCTTTATTAATTATAGTGTTATAATTAATTTTCTAATTAAACTAAATCAAACTAAATTTAAAGTACAGTAGTATTAGAAAACAACTAAAAATTTTAAGGTAATACAGTATTAGTATTACTAATACTAATACAATACAAACTGTAATTAATCACACATATAACGCAAAACACTGTTGGTAAAAACACGGCGTTATCTCTATGGAAATGACCATAACTACTGTTACCCATATTTGCGTTAAACCCAAAACAACACAACACATTATTTTACCACAAGCCACTAATAATTAATTGCATTTAATTTGCACCATCCAGTAATTAACCGTCGACTAAACTCACCGCCACTATCAGCAACAGCGCTAGCAATGGACCCAAAACAAGTGCCCACGGTCAAACTGAACAACGGTGTGGACATACCGATCATAGGACTGGGCACGTGGCAGTCGGCGCCCGACGGCACGCTATACAAGTCGGTCAAACTGGCGCTCGACGCCGGGTATCGACACTTTGACTGCGCCCTCATCTACGAGAACGAGGAGGAGACCGGACGGGCCGTCAACGATGCCATCAAAGAGGGACAGGTATGTTGTCATACACAACATGTGGTACACACCTGTGGTCATACCGGTGCTGACACACGGCTGGGATGTGCTTGTTATGTAACTTGTATTTTAGTGTTGTGTTTAAAACGAGTTGTATAATGTTATACATGTATGTAATGGACAGACATATAGAGTGAAAAGGTAGCCATAGGCTATGGACAGGGAATGGTTGTATGTGTGACCACATGTGCGCCCACACCGTAAACACACTTATAATTAACACAATTATTTTTTGATTTGACCAAGGTGAAACGCGAGGACCTGTACCTGGTGTCAAAAGTGTGGCTCACGTACTACACGCGCGAACGAGCGCAGGAGTGCGTACGCAAAATACTGGCCAAATTTCAAACACCCTACCTGGACCTGGCGCTCGTGCACTGGCCCATGTCGTTCAAACAGGTTGACGACACCCTGTGGCCCACCGGCGCCGACGGCCAGATCATTGAGGGCAACATCGACTACATCGAGGCCTACAAAGGGCTGGAGGACTGCGTGAAAGCGGGTCTCGTCAAGAGTATTGGCATATCTAACTTCACCCGCGATCAGGTGCAGCGCCTGTTGGACGCCACGTCCATTGTCCCGGTGACCAATCAGGTATAACCCCCTCCCTATCCACCCTGGTAAATTAGAATTATAGCAAGTAGCATAAAGTAGCACTACTGACTACTCTCGGTTTAATTAACATTCGTAATTAATTAGTAATTAATTAACAACATGTGTTTGTTTGTTTGATAGGTGGAGGCGCATCCATATCTGGCCCAATCAAAGCTAAAGGCCTACTGCGAGGAGAGGGGCGTAACCCTCACGGCGTACTCACCGCTGGGCAATCCGGGCTCGAGCTGTAACGATAAGCCCGATAAGGGCCAGTTGCTAAAGGACCCGGTGGTGTTGCGCCTGGCCGAGAAGTATGGCAAAAATGCTGGGCAAATACTGTTGAGGTTTCAGGTATTATACACATGGTTGCTATTTGAAAATTGAACTAGTTACTAATGTAGTTTATTTTTTGCTATCATGGTTAAACTTTGGCGGTTTATAGACTGACCGTGGTCTGATTGTGGTGCCCAAGTCGGTCAATCCCGATCGTATTAAGTCCAATATACAGATATTTGATTTCAAATTGACCCAGGATGAGATCAAGGAGTTGGAGGGCTTGGATCGCAAGTATCGGAGCAATCTGTTTGAGCAAACCCAGCACCTGGTCAATCATCCATTTGATCCTAAAATTGATTTTTAAATCACCTGTGTATCAATTTGTGTGATTTATGATCGAGTTTGTTTTAATGATTATAAATAGTCTATGAGTTATACTTATTAGACGTTAAACTGAAGTACATTGAAAACTTACATAGTTAATAAATAGACGTGTTATTTAAACCAGAGAGTAGTCCGTAGTGTTAATAAAGTGTAAATCATGCTATAATTTAGGGGGTGGACAGGGAAGGGGTGTTATTTTGCACATACCTGATTGGTCACCGGGACAATGGACGTGGCGTCCAACAGGCGCTGCACCTGATCCCGAGTGAAGTTAGATATGCCAATACTCTTGACGAGACCGGCCTTCACGCAGTCCTCCAGCCCTTTGTAGGCCTCGATGTAGTCGATGTTGCCCTCAATGATCTGGCCGTCGGCACCCATAGGCCATAGGGTGTCGTCCACCTGTTTGAACGACATGGGCCAGTGCACGAGCGCCAGGTCCAGGTAGGGTGT